AAATCATGTCTCTACGCAACGAATTCGCTCAAAATATCATGACCTACTAACAGAAGAACTGACTGATGAATCAAGAAAGTGCATTTAAGACCATACGAATCTAAAGGGAATTGACACTTCGCGATGAACGGTTTAGATTATCTGACAGACGATTGCTGATGCTCATCACCAGTTTCTTTATGTTTTTCTTGGTTCCAGTCTGTGAGAGAGCTGGGTTAGAGTTCGCTGGTTATCAATCACGTGCAAGTTTCTGTGGAATAAAACAAAGCCGTATTAACTTCACGGGACGATACTTAAAGTTCAGAAATGTCAAATAAATCCACGAGCTGTCCTTGGCTTTCTGATTGGCTCAAAAGTTTGGGAAACGTGCCAAAGTATCGAAAACGTTGCGCGTAATTAGCAGAGTCGTTTGTAAACCACAAGCTTTGTTACCCGATTTTTCATACCTCACAAAAATGGTTATTTCCTGAGCCATTTTTAATTGAGATGGAGGTTCAGCCTCTGGAAGGAAAGGAACAAAAAGCAACCTGTTCTTAATTTGTTGTTTAATGACGCGATGAAATTACAAAGAAGACAAATATAAACATCAAGACAGAACGTTAATCATAACAAACATCTTGTATTTTGTAGTAAAGCTACTTACTAAAAGGCTCGCTGCGACAGTATTGGATAAGTCGAACGGTAGAGGAGATCATTCTCTGAAAATCAGTGAAAAAAATTTAAGATTTTCTTATACTAAACTTGACTAAGTTCTTACTGTTAAAAGAACTTAACGCTCACCTTAAAATTAGGAGCTGTGAGTTTTCAAAAACTGAGAAAATACCATAACATTCGTCACGTGTTGCATAGAGCACGTTCTCCCCTCCCCTCCCCACTCCTTTCCTTCAACCCTGGATCCGCACTGGTACAGTCCTCTCCCGGTGGGTGTCGGGGTGGGGACTTCCGTAAGTAAAAGTTCGGTGGTGCTCGTCGTCTCGCTCGGGGGTGTAAATCCAAAATTTTGGTCTCACTTTGAGTGTGCAGCACGAAACGCCTCTATTTTTTAGCCTACAAAGTATATTTAAAGGATGCACTCGAAAAATCTTTTTCCCTCTTTTCAGGGGTCTACGTAAAGCTCGAGGCACGCCCAGGTTCGTCTCTTTTAGGGGGCTTTTTCGATGACATACCCGGGAGTGCGCTTCAATTGCTGCTGAAATCTGGTCTTCTTTCTGAGTGGCTTTGCAGTATTCATCGTTTTTCTCTGGTTTAACCCTGACACAATTTCCTATTAGTGTTACAGACACAGAGACGCAAGATGAGCTAGTCAAGTCACTTTACTGCGCCTTTCAATAACATGCGGACTCTAAAATTCAAAGCTCAATCGACAAATGCGTCTTTCGCTACCGTCAATCAAATGTTCGGCGGCTCCTCCCAGCTTCCGACCACTGCCGAACGCGCGGTAATCAAGTCGTTGAGCACAGTTCAAACACCAAAACAGTGCTCAGCAGTGTCGGTTGAGCTTTGAATTTTAGAGTTCGCATGTTATTGAAAGGCGAAATAAAAATTAATGAAAAAAAGGAGATAACTCACCATTTTCTCAAAATTCACTAGATTGTCAAATTGCGTTTTGTTCCCTACGTCGGTAAATGTCATGTCTATAAGAAAAAAAATGGGAAAATTAGTCATACATTCAAGCTAAAAAAAACACGAGCGCTTAAAATCGTATTTTAAAATAGTGTTCAGAATGAACTTAAATACAAAGCAAATTATCAGTGTAAATATTTTTTCGCTAAATTCGTCGATGAACATGATGTAAATGAACAACGGACACAAACACGAGAAAAAGGCGCGAGGTCGGTTCCGAGGCGCGTCCAGTTCCACCTTTTGATCTTCCTGATGGAGGTTTTCTATTATCTTTAGCGGCCACCCAAAATTTAAAAAGCGAAGTTTGGCTTTGCTTTGGAAGAGGCGATGACAGATAAGAGTCTGAAATAGAAAGTGACCACTAATAAAAACATTCAGACACGCGTTTATTATTGTCCTCGCGCGATTCTATGTTGACTTTAAAAAGCATGTTTGTACTTGAACGAAATTGGCGTTTCTAGCAAGTCTCGTGCTAGTTTCTGACGAACCCATCTTCCATTTCCCCAGAGTGGCCGTTTAATAAGGGTTCGACTACATAATATAGTGCTATCAATTTCTCGCTACTAGAAAAGCCCTGGTTTGTCCTTTTCCGACCACAAACGAGTCATTTACATCTAAATACCTTTCATCAGTAGTGGCATAAATGGCAAGATGGGAGGTTTCATTTTTCCTACAAAAAAACAAAAACAAAAGCAGTTGGTATAACGATCATTCGTCAAAAAGTCCAAAAAGTCCAGACGTCACCGATCTTAAAGAATCGATCATTTTTTAAGAGGCAATCGTTTATTATTTAATTGATTGACAGTAAACTCACCAGCTAGAAGCCGGTAAACTCGATGATTTCTAGACGGCTCCTACAAAAGGAGGTACAATTTACATATTAGTCATTACATTGAAACAAGTCTTCCCACTATTGCTGTAACACCTTTATGTGCATGTTAGTTTTAATTTACTGCTCAATTCAAAAGTAAAGGTAAAAGCCGTGTGCGGTTTTTGTTCTTTTGTCTGGCTGATAAGGTTAAATTTTATACAGCATACAGGAAGATCAAAAGAAATCAAAAAGATTCCTTACCAAAGTAGTTTCAAATTCCTCGTATATTTTTCGGAATTTTCCTGGTAATTTCTAAAGAAAAATAAAAAAAACCCATTTGTTTTATTACACACAAGAAAACGAGCGCAAAGTACAATAGGGGCTTGGAAAAGAAAGCAATTCATTGGCGGCCGACTTTGTCCCTGTCTTGTCCCTCTTCCGTCTCCACACGAACTGTAGCAAAAAGAGGCACTCAACGGAGAAAGTAACTTTCTTAACCTCTGTCCTCTTGGATTTGATATGAAAGCTACTTCCGGACAGAAGAGAAGTTGTCAGTTCATGAGGATTTCTGCTGATTTTGGGTAGTCGCTAGCCAATGCAAGGGAGTTGCCAGTTGAGGGTGAAATTGGATCGTATCACTCCACCCTCTCGTAGTACTCACCTCCCATGTCTGTGACAAGCGGCCCACTGCAACACTGTTGAGTGCCATGACGACAGCAAAGAACGAATACCAATTATTGTACTCCTTGCAGCTGCAACATAGACAGAAAAACGCAATCAGCAAACAATTCATTTCAAGTCATTGCGGTAAGAGAGAACTACAAAACATTATGTATCGAGGCCGGGGGAGCGATTCGAGTTCGAACTCTGGCCGGGGACATTGTGTCGTGTTCTGTCGCAAGACACTTCACTCTCACAGTGCCTCTGAATTAAATGCTGGAGGTAACGCTGTCATGGACTAGCATCCTATCCAGGGGGGAGTAGAAATACTCCTAGTCACGTCATGTTAAAGAAACCGGAGATAAGCGTCGGCCTGATGGGCCACTTAACTCGTATGCAGGCTTTACCTTTTACCTTTCCAAGGTAAGCAATAGTTATGATAATTTTAGATGTATTTTTCGTGTAGGCATTTATTCGTTTGCTGAGCTTAAAAATAACTTTCATTACCGATAGAAAAGTGGCGAATTTAAACAAGAGCTATAATTAAACTTTTGTTTTTGTTTTTCACTTTTCCACCTGCAAATGTGTGACACGTTAAGTTTATAAAAATTACTTAACTATTCAAGTATAAAACCATGCGCATTTATGTATAGTTTCGATTACGTATAGAACTCGTCTTCTCCCCAGTTTTCAATGGCAAACCAGCCAAACAAACAAACAAACAAACAAACAAACAAACAAACAAACAAACAACCAACCAAACAACGGTTTTGAAAATTGATCATTTCAATAATCAACATGGTCGATTGCACATTTAACACGGACGGTCTAAACAAAAGATTTATGTAGCTATAAGATTACTTACTGCGCGGCCAGTTTAATGAACTTTTTCAACAAATAAACTCTTTTGTTGAGTTGTTGAGTGAGTAGAATCTGTGTTTCGACCCACAACTGCACCTGAAATAATAATAATGAAAAATCCCTTCCTTTTTTGACAAATATAAAAAGAAGTAGTGTAATGTTCGTCTGATACTAAAATTTTACAGGAACCAATATTTACAAAAAACTAAACAAAAGCAGCCAAAGCAATTTACTGCCCTTTTCTGAAGCTCAGTTATTCTCACGCTTGAGAGACGACGGGGACTGGATCCAAACACTTTTACATTGATGACGTAGCTTTACATGTCTCTGATTTGTCAATTCTCGCAATTTTGAATTTTCTCGAGCAAAAAACAACCAATCAGAGAAGCCTTGCGTACCTCAGTAGAGCTACGTCATCAGTATGAATTTTTTTCGCGTCCAGTTTCGGCCGTCTTTGATTGCGTGAAGAAGGTTGACTGATTGATTGATTGATTGATTGATGTATCGGTTGATTGATTGGCTGATGGATTGTCTGCTAAGCTCTATCATTGGTCGAAAGGAGGCCGCACGGCATGTTCGAGCAAATCAGAATACCCGTGTTCTTTTTACCGGTCAAGAGCACAGCAAAAAGCAATTGTAGCTTCGCTTGGCGTCAACATACTTCGTGAGAAGAACAAATGAAGTGCCTCACCTCATTGAACCGCTTGAGTAGCAGGTCAAGGTTCGCTGTGATCTGGTTGTAGTTCTCTTTCCCAAAAATGTTGTAAACAAATTCGTGCTGCAAATTAGATTACAATAGAGGAAAGTTCAGTTCGAAATGAATTCTAAAGTGACTCCCGATCAAGCATTTGCATGCGCGATTTTTCCGCATTTGGTCTTGCTTTCTCCAACAATTGATAAATTTCCCGAGGCGGCTTGTTGATAGAGTCGAGGGAGGTTAAGCAACTACAACAACGACGCCTATTAAAAACTGAATTTATATTTTATCAGCGAAGTTCGCGATTGTCTAGATCTGTTAGGTACGCCAATGGCTCTAAAAACATGCTCGGACTAAATATGCAATTCCAAATAAAAATACAAAAAATTAGCCGTCGTCGTTCGCGTTCTTCAGGCGACGCAGAATTTGGTCATTTCACGTCGTTGTTTTGCAGAGGACAGCTAAGAAACGTACAAAGACTTATAACGCAAGTGCACAGCTATTGTTTTGCTCATTGAACCTTTTTGTTTGGTGACGTTCTCGTTGCCGTTGTCGTCGTGGTTTGCTTACATTCCCTAATGTCTCGCTAATGAAAACACAACACCGAGCAAGATGGAGGTACTTACAACATTGACGGCATTAAAGAGCTCGTAATCATACTGCGAGATGTAATAAGCGAGCTCTTTAGAACTCACTGACTCCAGGAATGCCAGGTTACTACTTGTGGGACCTTCTTGGTCGGGAGTAGGGGTCTGGGACAGAGATGAAACACAAGGTTAATTTAACCTTTGAAAGCATTAGAAAAAATAATAAATAATAATGATAATAATAATAATAATAATGATAATAATAATAATAATAATAATAATAATAAATAAATAAATAAATAAAATATAAAACGAACAGAACATACCAACGTCGGGGGAAGATATTTGCAAATGTCCTCCACCGGAACAGGCAGTTAAAAGTGTATATACACAACTTACCTTTCCCCTCATTTTAAAAAGCTGAAATATAATCGTTTGACTTGATGTTGTCTTCTCAGCTTACAAGCACAACAACTTCGTAACAAGTACTCTGCCAGTTTTCTCTTGTGCTACATACATTTTCGCCTACAATTTATGACTTCTTAGTGCCTCCCTCACTAAATAAAGTTTTCAATCAATTTTGAAAACTTTGAGATGGTTTTCTCCTATGATTCTCAAAGAGCCGCATGCACACCTGCAATAAATTGGCATCGGTAGGTGGTTACGATGGTTACGACAGGTTGTTACTATGACAACCCCGACTCTCGGACTAACATTAACTTTGATTAGCTAAGCCGCCAAGCAATAGGACACCTTACCAACATTACTGTTTTTACTGTTAACCTAGTCTTAAATGGTTTGTAAGTTTGTCCAACTAGCCTAGCTCACCAACGAATCCAAATGTTCTCTTGGCGCGATGCACAGCCTTCCGTTCACACTCAGTCCTGTCGTGACACAAATTTCGTGCGGTTTGAGTGGGAAACGCTCTGTAAAAACGAACCGCACATCATATCAACACGGAATTGGTCTATTCTTTTAAGTCTGTCTTTCCCCCCTCCCCCTACGTAATGCAAATACACGCGCAAACGATGGGTGTGACATGTACCTTGGCCTCAGTTAGTGTGCCAAATTGAACTTCACATGAGCCCAATCTAAGGATGTACATTGGCAAAAACAGTGGCGCTCATTAACATTAGGCTCGGCAAATGTCACGGTGAGTCGGACGTTTTACAATGGCCTCGGAGAGGTCACGTCTATTTGAGACATTCTCAACGGGCAGGTTGTTCAACCAAACACGAAAACATGTCATAAAGTAACTTGTGGTGCACAGCGGAAATCGAGCCTAAACTCTGAATTTCGAGAACAAATTAAATCCAACCATAGTGGAAGGATGGGGGCTTCGAACCTCCCAGATGTGAGACGGTAACCTATCCATCCGACCAGGCAGTCTCCTCTAATAGTTTTATCTCCCTTTTTGAAACAAACCTCCTGAAGATTTGACTTCACACAGAACACAGTCATCGCCCAACAAAACGCGTTCTTCCGCAGTGTTAACAATGGTCTGTACAGTGGCGTTATACGGCAACGCCAAAGTTGTGTATGTATGATCAGCGCAGAACACACGGAAAATATCTGAAATAAGAATTAATGAACGAGTTGTAAAAAAGTGACCTTAGGGAAAAATTTAATAGTCATGTTCAGATCCTACTTGTCTAATAGAACAGTGTCTCATATTTCTGTGACGGTGAATGCAAGTATCGATACTCCCGCAGTCCATCACAGGCACCCTCTTCCCTCCCCCACAGAGCATTTTCCCCAAATTTCTTTAACTCCAATTTATTCTTGGGTAGAGAGGAACTGCTGGAGCAAGCAAACATAACCGTTTATTTCAATGGAACAAAGAAGTGTTTCAATTAATCTTAATATTTAATGTGACTTGTTTTTATTGCTAACCAAAACAGCAAAAGGATACATTCTGAAAAAAATATCGAGAATATCTTCGGAACTAGAGCGGGAAATGGTACCTACTTTGGTCGGTTCCTCGGATAGATCTATACTCCGTTAGATCGTTTGCGATGTTAGCGACACCCATGCGACGACGGGCCTGTGTGTGATAAGAAAAATAATCATTAATGTAATTTTGAGGCTCGTTTTATTCATTTCAAACGATTTCCACAATGACAGAGAGTTGGTTTCTTAGTTGGACTGAATATTTGTTTTGATGAATACCGCTGTCATGATTCCCTGCGGGCGCGTCTCATAGAGAGAATTTACCAACAGTGACGTCATCGTGAAACAATATGGCTACCTCGTGTTACTAAGCAACGTTTCCGCCTAAAATCCACCGCGGGCTCAGTCCTCAAGAGACAATGTTCTGAGTGACAAAATGAAATTAATCATAGCCGAAACTAGAACAAGACATCTGTATGAGTTATAACTAAACAGAAAAATTAGCAAAATTAAATTTGTTAAATACTTCTCAGTTTACCATTTGAACGGACAGATTACCATCAGTCATTTCGACATCGGGAAATCTGACGAGAAACGGACAAAATAAGGTTAATCAATCACCTAACGCAACTGAGAAACGCCGAGGTTTGGCCATGACGGGCGTATGGAAAATATGGAATCCGGAAACGGAAACGGAACCGGAACCGGAACCAGACAAATAAAAATTGGAGATGTTTTTAGGGTGTTAAGGACAATAATTGCTCTAGCAAGAATTTTCGTCTCCACACTAAGGCAAATGTAATTGTAATAGAGTGATACTGAGTACCGTGTTTTAAATCTCTTCATGTTGTTTCACTTGTCGAGTGCCTGTAGTCAAATGAAAAACGCAAATGTTGTTATTCCATTTAAACGCGACTTCCTGCTAATCGCAAAAATTAATGCCCATCAAGAAAAACCAGTCTTTCACAATTGCAAAAACTGGTTTCCGCAAAATACAAAAAATCGCCCATGCGCAAAATAACACTCCCGCAAAAATTTCGTGCCACACGGTCTGCCTTGAATTTAAACTTGATCTTTTACCTCGTTTCTTTTAACGGGCAAATATTGTTTTGCAATTGATATGCATTTCGCGTTAATCTGCAAATATTAAAGAAAAAAAGACAAAACGACAACATTTCGCCGCGTGAAAGAGCGTACGTTTGTTTATTTTAGCACAGGCATGGGTTCTATTTTCTCAAGCGAGCTTATACATCACGCTTCTACATGACTTTACAAAAAAAGCAGAACGTATAATCACTGAAAATCATAGAATCAGCTAATGCTGTTCCATATATAGAGTCAAGCTTAAATTCAAGCCATAATAACAAGCTCAGATTTTCACAAGTACATTTGATACGTTTCAACGCTTATCACGAATTTGTATAATGTGAACATCTTTCCAAACTAGACTCAAACTCAATGTAATTATCTGAAACTAATGAAAATTTCTATGCCCTTAAAGTTCGTACCTTTTCAGTGTATCATCCATTTCCAACTGAGAGAAATTCAGCAAAGGGAGGAGTACTAATGTCAGTTATTCTTATTGATCCCAAGTTGCATCATTCACGTGTATGTGAAATCAGTTCGGAAGAAAAGTTTGCACCGGCCGGACAAAAGCGACATACAGAAAATAATATTACACGTGGAGATGAAACTCTTAGCACCCTCAAAACATCTCGAATTTTTATATGTCTGGTTCCGGTTCCGGTTCCGGACGGGGATTCCGGATTCCCTGTTTTCCATACGCCCGCCATGACCCCGAAATGATCAAGTTCAGAAGCTTCTTCGTGTAAGAAGACAAAGGCAAATAAAAAGGAGGAAGATATATGTACCGAAAACAATAAAGGCCCATGTGGCTTAAGCAAGTTTATTCCTACAATGACAAAATATCCTGAGTGACAAAGACACAAAAGGAGCAAATACAATACTAGAAACGACAGAAAACGTTCCAGGCTGAAAAGGGCACCGCGTTGTAGAACAAACTAAGACTCACTAAAGCGATTATCTTTCTTGTAGCTTGAGTATTATGGGATTACCTTTCTTGTAGCTTGAGTATTGTGGGATTACCTTTCTTGTAGCTTGAGTATTGAAGTCCTCACTAGATTAAATTCATTAATTAGCTGGTCCGCTTCCAAAGCTACCATCAGTTTCTATATGAAAAGAAGTATACCATAATTCAAGAAAACAAACTTTTTGCTAATGCCGGTAACAATTTCTGACTAGCACTCGTGGGCAAATGTGATAACGCTGTACATAAACTATTTTACCAGAAAATAATTACCAAATATTTCACGAGCACGCGTTAGATATATAAACATCAGCATGCATCAAATTTGGCGCGAAAACTGATATGCTCGGATATTTGTCCTCAGACCGTCATTAATTATTTTTTGTCAAGCGAACAGTTTTCCGAACTTTGAGAATTTGGTTGGTGTCAACGCTTAGATAGTGTCTATAGTTTGGTCCTGCATGACGTTTTCATTCGATCGCTCATCACTTTCTGGGCTACGTACAATAGTAACAATAGTGGCTCCCTTATTAAAAGTCATTACATATCTTGAACTAAATGCAATTCTAACCGCTGGCTAAAATCGTTTCTTGGACCTTGCTGAGGCGTCTGCTTCTAAAGAAAACAAAGATCTTTTCTGCAAGATAATTCAGCGCAAAACTCTGTTTGGCATACTCAAGACACTGTATTCATTTTATCCATTCATCTCTTACCTCAAGAAATTCACAAATATTTTTATCTTCCAAAAATAGATTTCCCGCCAAATAACTCCAGCGAAGTGTCATTTGGACCACCCTGCAATACAACAATTTTTCAAACGGTCATGCTCTCGAAATTCTCAACATTAATCTTATTCAGAGCAAAGGATGGAAAATCCAACAGTGGAGGCAATGGTCTCGAAATTTTGTTCTACGCTAAACCACTGATTTGATATGAAATCTTCATCGTGCATTTAATAAAATTAGAGACATCAATCTTTTGAGAGCATGAACGGAAAATCGAAAATATATGANCTCCGGTTTGAAGAGCGTTTACGAAAAGCTCCGTTTTGGTGACGGATTAGTGTGAACGGTAGGTCTAATCGTTAGTAGAAATAATGCTGCGTTGTTAAATTTCTCCGGCGTACTGTGGACGAGGCCCACAAGTGGTAGCAATAAATATCGAAGAGCCTGCCCTCCCCGGAGAAAAAGAATGTTGGCACTCAGCTAGGCACCAGTTCTTACCGTGAGTTATGACAGCCGCTTCAAGAAGCGCCTGCAGCATAGCAATGGCGTGAAAACGACCATGAACCATTGGGCTTATTCGAGTCAGCCAATCAACTGCCTCTGATCCAATGAAGCACTTGCTCACTGTACGACTGTCACGTTTTCTATCACGGATGAGTCTTGGGGACTGATTAAGAAGCATTCTGTAGCGAAGAACCAGACCTGCTTCCATCAGGGCTTCAGATGGATACTGCAGGGTAAACAAGAATATTGGTACTGAGACACAACAACAACAATAACAATAACAATAACAACAACGACGACTACGACAGCAACAATAATAACAACAGCGACAACCACAGTCGTGAAAAAGGGTTGTAGTTATTCATGGCGGTGAAACTTTACAATAATAATTAGTTATTATCGTTTGTCTCACGATGTGTTTGACAAAACGCGCGTGAACTTGTTTCCTAATATTTCACTCGCCACTATTTGATTACCCATACATATCCTAACCTATTCCAAAGAATGGAAACCAGGAACGAAATTTGCTTGTGGACACTGAACTAAAAGGGGGGCGCTATCACATATCAGTAGAAATCTGCTAACGCTCTATCACGAATGCCGTTCACTTACAACCTACATTACTCACGAACTATCTATTCCGGTTTTTATAATATTTCAAATTATTCTCACGTTTTGATTGGTTCTATTAGAGGACAGACGCGTGGATGACGTCATTAACAAAAATAGTAAAAATTTCACATAACTACACCTCTTCTTTTACGTTTGAAGTGACGTAATATAGATATTTTGGTACTTGATTTGACTTGTTTTTAAGTCAAGCAATCTCACACTACTGAAGTCCTAAGAACATGTTGTTATCGTTGTTGTTATTTGTCATGAAGGTGTCCCTTGAACAAGCCAAACTTACAGCAATCATAGCATAGCGTTTGTCCTCGGAATTTTTATCCTCAGGAGGCTTTCCATTCTTTTCTAGAGTGAAAAAAAAAAAAGATGAAGGATAGCTAAGCAATATGTCTTTAAAGTTTTTGAAAACCGAGTGCCTAATGATTAGTGTAACTTTTTCTAGATCATTACAAGCGGTCTGGATTCGACCAGCTCATTGTTTCACGTGTTCTTAGGCAAGACACTTTACTCTTACATGGACTGGAAGCCTATCCAGGGGAGAAGTGGACAAATGCAAAGAAGAAGGTAAGGAAGATATAGGGTCTTTTTGCTAACAGACAGACTCACTGGCTTAGCGTAAGGATGAAATACCCCCCTCACCCCCTACACCCGGCCAGAATTGTTGGCCCCTAACAACTTAGTTAAAAAAAAAAGTTTTTTACAGAACAATGTTTGAAACCTTACGTTGTACTCCAAATAAGGGAGACGAAGGGCTGACAATAATATCCTCCAGATACCGCTTGTTCCGCTGGGAAAAAAGAAGTTTGTTACTGTGACAATAGTTCTCAGTTTTCATTCCAGGTTGCCTGAGGTTCAAAGGTTTGACCTACCTCCCAAATGGTACGGAAATACTTCTTTTCCACCAACAGCAACTCACAAAATTCACTGGTAATAACTGTAGCGTGCCTTATGGAGAAAAAGAAATACAATCAGCTGAAGAGAAATTTGAAGTCAAACTTCATTCACGAGAAACTTTTCTAGACCTCAGAGCACTGTAAGAACTGTAAAAAAGAAGTTACGTCTTATTAATAGCATAACAAATTTCAATGGCAATTATGCAGATCGACTTTTCTACAAATTTGTTGATGCAACAAACTCACTGTGTGTGATCTGTAAAACTATTATGTCTTTGCTCCATTCTACGTTCTCATTGGGGGAGGGGTGGGGAAGACGCCCCGTCCACACTACGGCGAAGAAATTTGAAAACGCAGCTTTATTTCTACGGTTTGGCTAACCGTCCACACTAATCAGTCACGAAAACGGAGCTTTTCGAAAACGCCGCTTCAAACCGGAGGAATTTGAANGCTTTGAGTGGATGAGGTTATCAGTTAAGTTTACGTTTTAAGATAGCGTTTCATAGAAAACCAGTCTGAGAGATTGCTTTCGAATTCTAGCCATCCGTCTCTATATAAAGTTGGTAAACAAACCAAGTAGTTTGGATGACGCGTAGCTCTTCGCTTGAGTTTATGGACTGTCTGCAATTGCGACTAAAAGTTATTTTTCATGACTCACATGTGATTCCTCCCTCCAAATCCTGATAACATCCATAGTAACAGATCTGCTGAAGAACTGTGCAATGAAATCGCTCAAATGCTTTCAGGTCCTGTAAATAGATAGACAAGTTGAACATCGCATTTTCGTCTTGTATTTCAACAAAGTTCACTACTCTGATCTACCACAGTTTCTTTCCATTGCATTGCCAGTAATTGACAAAATCGACAATCGCATGAGATTTTGTTAGATTTGAATCTATTTATAAGGGTTAGCTATAGAAGTCTGGAACAAATTGTTGAGAGAGTTTTATCAACATTTAAACAATTAACTGCGCGCGCGATACTAAAACCGCATCAAAGTCGCTCCCCATTACATGTAAATGATGGTTTGGTCCGAAAAAAAAGCCCTTGCAAATCTTGCATCATTCCAAACCATTGCAGGAGTAGATAGGGGGGTAACCTCCATTCATGAAACAAAGTTTTGGGTTTTAGTCAGTGTAGCGGGAAAATGTAGGTATTCTTTCAATTAATTTGCCTAAAGTAGTAATTCTGATCTGTTTAGGGTTGTACAACACACGAGCTGTTCAGTCTGACCTCTCGCCGGTAGGTCAGCGATAAGAGAAATCGTAAAGGCCACTGTTGGTAGAGCTCGGCCATCAGAGCCCATGATAATATGAGTTAAGTGAGCTCGAGGAGCTTGTGCTATTGACTCATAGAACCTCCTGATTACCGAGTTTGTGTTTTTCTGTGTTCAGTTGGGTCTTTTTTGTCAGTTAATAGACCCACTCTGATCAATAATATTGAAGCGCAAGTATAGTGGAACGACCAAGGCTTCCGCCTCCTCGGGAAGCCTTTCTGGGAAAATATGCTTTTTACTGGCAAATAAAAAATAATGATGATGATGATGATGACGACGACGATCCAGTGTAATACTACCCTGTTCCCGGCTCTTGGCAGTTGGAGAAGAGCGAAAAAAAGAGGGATATTGCTCGCCCTCTTTTCTCCTCAACTACTGAGGGTTTAGAACAGCGTAAAACCGTAAGCTGAGAAAAAGAAACGAGTACAAACTCGAGCAGGGGAAACGATAAAAATAAGTAAGGTGCTATTGAAAAACCGATGAAAAACACCAAAATTNAACCGGAACCAGACAAATAAAAATTGGAGATGTTTTTAGGGTGTTAAGGACAATAATTGCTCTAGCAAGAATTTTCGTCTCCACACTAAGGCAAATGTAATTGTAATAGAGTGATACTGAGTACCGTGTTTTAAATCTCTTCATGTTGTTTCACTTGTCGAGTGCCTGTAGTCAAATGAAAAACGCAAATGTTGTTATTCCATTTAAACGCGACTTCCTGCTAATCGCAAAAATTAATGCCCATCAAGAAAAACCAGTCTTTCACAATTGCAAAAACTGGTTTCCGCAAAATACAAAAAATCGCCCATGCGCAAAATAACACTCCCGCAAAAATTTCGTGCCACACGGTCTGCCTTGAATTTAAACTTGATCTTTTACCTCGTTTCTTTTAACGGGCAAATATTGTTTTGCAATTGATATGCATTTCGCGTTAATCTGCAAATATTAAAGAAAAAAAGACAAAACGACAACATTTCGCCGCGTGAAAGAGCGTACGTTTGTTTATTTTAGCACAGGCATGGGTTCTATTTTCTCAAGCGAGCTTATACATCACGCTTCTACATGACTTTACAAAAAAAGCAGAACGTATAATCACTGAAAATCATAGAATCAGCTAATGCTGTTCCATATATAGAGTCAAGCTTAAATTCAAGCCATAATAACAAGCTCAGATTTTCACAAGTACATTTGATACGTTTCAACGCTTATCACGAATTTGTATAATGTGAACATCTTTCCAAACTAGACTCAAACTCAATGTAATTATCTGAAACTAATGAAAATTTCTATGCCCTTAAAGTTCGTACCTTTTCAGTGTATCATCCATTTCCAACTGAGAGAAATTCAGCAAAGGGAGGAGTACTAATGTCAGTTATTCTTATTGATCCCAAGTTGCATCATTCACGTGTATGTGAAATCAGTTCGGAAGAAAAGTTTGCACCGGCCGGACAAAAGCGACATACAGAAAATAATATTACACGTGGAGATGAAACTCTTAGCACCCTCAAAACATCTCGAATTTTTATATGTCTGGTTCCGGTTCCGGTTCCGGACGGGGATTCCGGATTCCCTGTTTTCCATACGCCCGCCATGACCCCGAAATGATCAAGTTCAGAAGCTTCTTCGTGTAAGAAGACAAAGGCAAATAAAAAGGAGGAAGATATATGTACCGAAAACAATAAAGGCCCATGTGGCTTAAGCAAGTTTATTCCTACAATGACAAAATATCCTGAGTGGCAAAGACACAAAAGGAGCAAATACAATACTAGAAACGACAGAAAACGTTCCAGGCTGAAAAGGGCACCGCGTTGTAGAACAAACTAAGACTCACTAAAGCGATTATCTTTCTTGTAGCTTGAGTATTATGGGATTACCTTTCTTGTGGTTTGAGTATTATGGGATTACCTTTCTTGTAGCTTGAGTATTGTGGGATTACCTTTCTTGTAGCTTGAGTATTGAAGTCCTCACTAGATTAAATTCATTAATTAGCTGGTCCGCTTCCAAAGCTACCATCAGTTTCTATATGAAAAGAAGTATACCATAATTCAAGAAAACAAACTTTTTGCTAATGCCGGTAACAATTTCTGACTAGCACTCGTGGGCAAATGTGATAACGCTGTACATAAACTATTTTACCAGAAAATAATTACCAAATATTTCACGAGCACGCGTTAGATATATAAACATCAGCATGCATCAAATTTGGCGCGAAAACTGATATGCTCGGATATTTGTCCTCAGACCGTCATTAATTATTTTTTGTCAAGCGAACAGTTTTCCGAACTTTGAGAATTTGGTTGGTGTCAACGCTTAGATAGTGTCTATAGTTTGGTCCTGCATGACGTTTTCATTCGATCGCTCATCACTTTCTGGGCTACGTACAATAGTAACAATAGTGGCTCCCTTATTAAAAGTCATTACATATCTTGAACTAAATGCAATTCTAACCGCTGGCTAAAATCGTTTCTTGGACCTTGCTGAGGCGTCTGCTTCTAAAGAAAACAAAGATCTTTTCTGCAAGATAATTCAGCGCAAAACTCTGTTTGGCATACTCAAGACACTGTATTCATTTTATCCATTCATCTCTTACCTCAAGAAATTCACAAATATTTTTATCTTCCAAAAATAGATTTCCCGCCAAATAACTCCAGCGAAGTGTCATTTGGACCACCCTGCAATACAACAATTTTTCAAACGGTCATGCTCTCGAAATTCTCAACATTAATCTTATTCAGAGCAAAGGATGGAAAATCCAACAGTGGAGGCAATGGTCTCGAAATTTTGTTCTACGCTAAACCACTGATTTGATATGAAATCTTCATCGTTCATTTAATAAAATTAGAGACATCAATCTTTTGAGAGCATGAACGGAAAATTGAAAATATATGACGGCTGTTCGTTAATCATGACGTAATTCACATCATAAAACATCACATGTCATGTTGCAGGGACTTGAAATTCCATAGTTTTAATACTCTCAGACTCCTGCCCGGAGGGGAGGAGGGAGATCTCAGATTCCTGATAGAACTGGAATTTAGACAACCATTTTAGGAGAGAGTAAAACCAGCGTAAACAGACAAAATCCCTCGGAGCAAGGCGATAACAAACAACAAACTCAGCGGGTTGTTTTGCTTGCCCTGCCGGCTTTTCTTCCCTCTGCGATTTTTTTTTTTTACCCAAAATAGGGGGGTCCGGGCTCCCCGGGCCCCTCCCCTAGATCCGCCACTGCGAGGTGTTTCTAAAGAGAATTTAGATAAAGTTTTGAACGACTAAGGTAGATTTATACTAGAGCAATTAGATTATTTGCCCTCGATTTCTATGCATGATAGTCGGCTCAGGCTGCGCTCGATCTTACAATCTAATCGTTAATTCAATGTTATTTTGATACAGTCCTTGTTACCTTCTCTTGATAGCCACTTTGTGCTCAGCGGTGATATTTCTGATCTCGTCCTGCCCGATGATGAGAGAGTCCGTTCTATCATAAGTAAGTCAATATTAAGGAGAATAACGCTTTTAATCTTTATTTTTTCCTATGCACTTTACTTTCTTGAACCTTAAATCAAAATATCACATCTCCCTGCTGATTGTTAAAAGTCATTATATTTTGCACCAAACGCATTCTTTATTGCAGGCTAAACTCGTCACAGTTCCCAGCCCAAATTTGGCCCAGATCCCATTTCCCGCCTGGTTTGTGCTCAAATCTAAGTCCGATTCCCTTAATCGTAATAGACAAAACTGAACTTTTTAGTCAGTTTCGGCTAAGAGTGAAGAAGCCGTATTGAATAAGGAAATTGACGTATATATATGACGTATATCCTGGCATATTGTTAGTAAAAAGGATATTTGGAGAGCAGCGCGCGGCACAGCCTGTCCGTACTCATAAAAATCGGAAAGGCGATCAGGAAGTCATGTAAAAAATGATCTGAAAGAAGAAAAATAAACACGATATAAATACATACCACGACAGCAACCAGAAAATGTACAGTAAAATGATTAGGAATGCGTCAAGATATACATTTATAAATTCATTATTTTTTTACCATCAAAGTTGCTTGCATTATCCACTCTCGTTTCTAAAAGGTATTCCACCATTTTTTCGGGAGTCCCAGCCATGACCGAGTACCTGAAACAACGTAATATTTAATGGTCTTCATTTAATTTTCAGTTAATTTTCATTCGTGTTCAGCTGACAAAAAGTGCAATGGACTAGCATACCATTCATAATCCTGGATGGAGAGTTTGGCCAAGCACACGACAAGAACACTACAAAGGGACTCTCAGCGAGGCAGGAAGCTGAGCCTGCTTCTGCCGCCTGACGCTCAACAAGTAATGCAACTATTCCTTAGACGGAGGGGATGATTGTACAACACAAGCTCTCCCCCCCTCCTTTAACAATTTAGCCAGTCTGTCCCACCATTCCAACATTTCAGTGTTACCTATTGACATCCCTTGGTGGAGAGACCATGTGCAACGATTCGGGGAGAATTAGAACAGGGTTACCGTCAAATCAAAAAATCCGTCCGTGCATCGAAGTCCAAAGACTTACCAGTTGAGGTTTCTACACAATCATACTACTACCATCTCAAAGCATATGGACTGCAGACCCCCTTCAGTGCAATCAAATCGTGCTACTTACTTCTGCAACTTCGGTCTTTGACCTATTTCGTCTCCAAATATTGTACGTATCTTCATCTTTTCTAAGACCAAGACGTCTTGACCGTGTTCTTTAAGACGAACTGTGTTTGTTTCGACATCCTAGTATTAAAAAAGTGAAAAAATTAACGGAGGAAGAAGGCAAACACTGAGCAAGCAAGCAGGTTCCTCCCTCCCT